GAAACAATATCTTAGCTCCTGGTTCTTGGTACTTCCTGGTGGAAAACATTGTTAGTCTCTGTCTTGGCCATTATACTCATTGGCATATTCCTGTGCTGTGACATTTATTGCTGCATCAATATGGTTCCAGTAAATTAATAAATTCTTGTTTCTCTTATAGACCACCTATCACTCGAATGGCCCTCCAGCCTAATACTTCTCAATTGAACTTTTATCATGGACCACTCGATAGACCAGATATTTTTAAAGGGGGACTCCAAACTGCTTGCCCCACACCGTCCCTTTTCAGCCTGAAGAAGCCAGAAAGATTCTCTTTGCCCCCCCTTCCTTACAGCAGTAAGGAGTTCCCAAATTAGAGGGGGGAATAAAGCCAGATTTTAAGTTAGGTAGTCAGTGTAGTTAGATAAATCGGGGTCTAATACCGAGTGGAATCTAAAATGGAGGCCATGCTGAAAATGATTCCAGGGAACGCAAAACAACTCATGAAATGTGAAACCCTTCAATAATCGTGATGCATTACTTTTAAGATTAAAAGTAGTCAGAAAAAAGGAGTGGGGAATGTAAGGGTAAAAGAAATTGAAGTTAAAGCGTAAAAGTTAAAGGGTAAAAGATCGGGTGTTGTAAAAGTTTCTAAGCTGCAAGGTCTGAGTTAGCTGTTAAGACAATGCTTAGAACCGCCCAGTAAACATTTCCCCTGATTGTCTGGTTGTTTAATAACTGAAGGGGTCTGTGTGGTTGCACGCAGGCATTGCAGGGCCTGGACCAATCAGTTTAAATGTAACCCCCTCCTTAGGAATGACCTATCACTCCAGCCTGACCTGTTCCCGCCAATGAATGAACCAATCATGTTTAGGAGTTGTTGTTCAATTTTCCCGCGCCTCATGATGATCTGTTCTGATGTATACAAAGCCCTCCGCCCTCCCCAAAAAGTGTACTTAAGCAATCCTCAGCCCCTGCTCGGGGCTCTGAGCTGCTTTCCCTTCTTGAGTGGGCACGGAGCCCCAGCATGCTGGTTCAATAAATCCCCCCTTCTGCCAATTGCATGAGTGGTCACTTGGTGGTCTCTTTCTCCGACGTTTCGCGGGACCCTTACAGCCCTATCTAGAGTTCATCTAATCCTCCCTTGCTCCCCCTCCCAACTCCACTATGAATCAGTCTCCTTATATCAGAGAAAATATTTGACATTTGTTTTCTTGGGGGATTGGCTAACTTCATTTAGCATTATATTCTCTAACTCCATCCATTTACCTGCAAGTGCCATTATTTTATTCTCTTATTGCTGAGTAATATTCCATTGTGTATATATGCCACATTTTCTTTATTCTTTCATGTACTGAAGGGCATCTAGGTTGGTTCCACAGTTTAGCTCTTGTGAATTGTGCAGCAATAAACATTGATATCAGGGGCTCCACTTTTGTAAATACATTTCTGACTCTGTCTTTTGTTCTTCACTAATTATTTTAGACTTTTAAGTTCTCAGGTGGCTTACACCCTTCTGAACAAGAAGAAGAACTCCCTAATGAGATGCTGGCTATTGTTCCCTATAGGAACATTATATTTGGCTGCAGTAACACAGACATATTTCTAGTCAGCATGGCATTTAAGCCTTTATTTAAACTTGAGAGCGCATAGCTCATTACTGATATTTACGACAGTAGCTTCCAAGGCGTTCAATTTAGTTTCACTCGGAAGTATTTTGAGCCAAATTATTGAGAAAATTTGCATATTGAATGTTCTGAGATAGAGCCACTGACCTTGTTACAGTAAAAGCTGTAAATGAGATTAAAGCAGCCACTCCAAGAATTAGGAGACCAAGAGCTCCTTTAGGTCTGGTTAACTGAACATGGATCTGTTGTAGAACTTGAACACCAGCATCAGCATACCATGGTTCTGAAATGAAATGTTGACTGGTAGTAAGACAAAGGAGGGTTGGTGAAGGATTAACATCTCTATTAAATCTATTGATGTAATTAGTTAGATTGCATCTTTTACAGGCTATAAGTATATCTATATTATTCTTAAGTCTTACATTTCCAGTAATTAAAGCATAAGGAAATTCAACACAGGTTCAAAAGCCATAGCAGGGACCCTCTTTGCAATTCCTGCCAACAAAGTCAGGAATAGGGCCATCTGTATAGTGTAGACACTGCAATTAAACACCAGAGATCTTTTTGAATAATGCCTTTGCTGAAGGTTAGAATATTATCAACAAAACATCCAGGGGTCATGGCATCCTTACATAGTTATCTTTTATCAATTATTGAAGACCAGTCCAAAATATATCCACTATTTTTAGAAACTATCTTGTACTGACTGGCAAGACATTTACACATTCCATCCATTTAGGAAATGTGCCAAATTTTTACATAAATATAATTATATAGATAAATATATACATGTATGCTGGGAGCCATTAGCCAAGTAGGTATGACAATTTCCTTGCCAGCGTACCCCATGTTGCTGACATTTTGCAGTGACATTGAATGTAGGTCACCTTGCTCAAGGACCAGGGCGGATTAGGGTGTTCCCGGTTTAAGATAATTGGGTTTAGGGCGTTCCCAATTTAGGTTCCAGGTTTAAGGTTTAAGATTATTCCTGCTGGGAATAGGGCGTATCCTGCTGCCTGAGTTCCCCTTGAGTTCTCACGGGATTCAGACAGTATATTTTGGGAGAGAGAAGCCCAGTGGAGGTGGATTTGGGCAGAGAACGTGGATTTCCCCAGAACGTGATTGTAGACGGCTGGTGTGAGTTCGGGAATAAAGAGTTGCTGTTTGAATCTACAAGCTGTGTGGTGGCTCGTGATTGTGTGCCCAGCCAGACTGCGGCATTTGTGCCCAGCCAGATTGCGGCACATGTATATTATAATTTATATATATATATATTAGTTGTAGATGGACACAATATCTTTAGTTTATATATATATGTGGTGCTGAGTTTTAAATCCAGTGCCTCATGCATGCAAGGCAAGTGATCTACCACTGAGCTACAACCCCAGTCCCAAAATGTGCCAAATTCTATTGCAGAATGATTAGAGCAATAAGGTAGTGGTAGTTTTGTTCTGTTGAAATGACTGGCTTTTTATGAGAAAGTCCATATAGTCCACATATATATGGACTATATGGACTGTCTCATAAAAATCTGGGAAATAGGTCCAATAAATTTCTCCATAGACCCCACTTACCTGACAACTCAATAGATCTATCATGGTCATAAACATTGTGGTTGGAAACTTAATTTCTCCTTGTTGTTGAATCATCTGCTCAGCTTTTGCATCAGATTCTTCAGTTGTTTCCATGATGGTAGTTTGAATGTTTGGTCCCTCAGGGTCTTTTTCATTATTTTCCTCCTTACTAGCTTCCTGTTCCTGCTGGGAGTCAGGGTTGACATCTCTGGATCTATCTTTAGTCATTTGAACCTTGGCTCCATGTCCTCCATATATGATGGCACCCAAATAACACCTTATGGTAACTTCTGGGAAAAAACCAATCATGACCTATACCCCACATTATCACTGGATCTGATCCTTTCCATGTCCTGTTGTAAATCTTTCCATCAAACTAGGCCCAAAAAACCTACGGCAGTAATGCAACCTTCAGTGTCACGATTTTAAAAATTTAGAATGAACAATGGTTAAGGTTATTTTGTGGAGTCTTATTTCCCCCCTTTTGCTTTTGTAATTGTGGTTTAATAGATAAATTCAATAGGTTTAGCACCTCCAACCTTCTATGCATTATCACTATTACATAAAACTTACATGCCGTCATCAGTTATCAATGATGAGGATTCGGTCATAACATTGCCCTCTATACAAACACAAAAACTCCCCGCAGGAACCAAGAAACGCTCACGTAGAGAAGGCTCCCCCAGGGACCCCAAAACTCCCATTACACTCTTCAGTGGAGCCTTAGGCCCTGCTTTGGCCGTGCTTTTTAGAAGGACGGGAACCCATCGGTGCTCCTGCGAGGATACGTTAAGACTTTTGCTGCAGGCCAGCTGAAAACAGGCACGAACAACACTCACGAAAATCGGCCCAGCCGCCGGGTACACCACAACCATACAAGCAAAGACAATCTGATTTTAGACCCACGAACTTATCCCCCGAGTGGGGGTGCACCGTTCCTGGAAGTACTGCAATACCAGGTCGATGCGTGGAGTGGACGGAGCAAGCTCCTATTCCATCTCCCTGCTCCAAAAATCCATTTAATATATTGTCCTCGGATAGAGGACGTATCAGATATTAAACTGATAAGAACAGATACTACACTTGATCTTAGCCAAAAGGCCGAGAAGCGATAACGGGCTGACTACCGGCACCCGTTCCACTCGTCGCGCCACACATCTTCAGCTCACGGTGAGAACCGTCACGCTCAATTAAAGACTCACCCTCACGCGAGTGTGACAGTGCATAAAGGATTCAACTTGGAAAGCATAAAAATGTTGTCAGATTATTGCTATTCGGGGGGAAACTTTCACCTTTTTCTTTGCTCCCATAGCTCCCGGGAGAAAGAGACACTGTAAATTTGCATGCCCCGCCCCACACAAGCGGTGCCGGGCCTTCGGCGCCCGCCCTCTCGCCTTGAAATAGAACACCGCCTCTAAAACAATTGGCTAGAAAGCTCTTCCGGCCTCATTGCCCCGGAACCAGGATTTTCCTCCTGGACGAGGAAGACGCAAACAACTCTACGAGGTTTTTCTTCCCAGCATTCTTCTTTGTTTTTAATCTTTCAATATTTTCTTTTTTTAAGAGATGAAGTCAACTTTCTGGAGGTTGAGGTGTCGGTCTCCAGAATGTAGTCCCCGGAGGAACGCACGCTCTCGCCGCCTCAAGGGGTGGACAGAGTCTTGGCAAAGGGGGCCCTCGGAGGATCTACGCCGTTAGCGGAGCTAAGTCCGCTGCTTCTAGGGCAGGAGGGGAGGAGCCTGGAAAGGCAGAGGAAACCGCTGGTTCAGACGCCGGTTCAACGACCGGCGTGGGACGCCCGAGTAGCTAGGGCGGGGTCACCAAGGGGAGACCCGGCGGGAGAGGGCGTGGCGAGCAGGTCGGGCGGGGACTTGTGGGCTCTCCTACTGGGGAGAAAGCGAGAGGCTCTGAGCGTGGGCCGCGGCGCGAGAGGGACGTACCACGACTTAATACTTCTGACTGGCCCGACGCGGGGGCGAGTGCAGAGAAGCGGAAAGGCCGGTGAGGAAAGGGGGGTTGCGTTCTCCCAGGAAAGAGATAGTGAGCGCTTGGGCCCGGGGTTGTCGCAGTGCAGGGGGTGCGCAGTGGCCAGATTGTGGTTGTATTTTGAAAGTAGAGCCGCCGGCATTTGCGGACAATCGGGGAACATATGGGTGTGAAAGAGAAGAGTGGACGGTGAGTCCAGCGGTTCTGGCCAGAGCTACTGGAAGGAAGGACACGGTTGTCATATTCTGAGTTGGGCGAGGACCAAGTTTGTCGAGGAGGCTGGAGGTGGAGGCGGAGTGAGGTGCGTGTTGCCCTGTTTGCAGCTCAGTTTAGGAGAGCACAAGCTAGAGATGGCGCCCCAGAGAGTCAAGAGGAGGTGGCAGGTAGGCAGCTGGGTGTACCAGGCTGGACTGCAGCCTGGAGCTATTTTGAGGACTGTCAGCAGAGAAGTGAGGACCCTCGGCCAGGAGTTGGGAGGAGCTCCCCAAGGGAGAGGGTGTCCATCCGCCACAAGTAGAAGGGCGGAGCCGAGGCATGAGCCCAAAGTCAAGAACATTAGAAGGACAGGCAGAAGGAAAATCTGGAGAGCAAGGTGTTCTGGAAACCAAGCCCAGAAGGTATTTCAAGAATGAGGGACCGCCCAACCCAGTAGAGAGCTGCTGAAGGATTCCGGTGAGGTGGGGGGATTGGAGATGGACCTTGAGGAGAGCAGTGCACAAGAGACTGACTGGGGCAGGTTCAAAAGAGGGCAAGATCCAAACCCAGGGTCATTCTACAGAATAAGTATCCTGCAGTCTTCAAAGAAAGTGCCGGTTGTGAAAGACGGCGCAAAGGCAGAAGGGCACGGAACGAGAATTGGCAACTAAATGCAGCAAGGGATTCCAGACTGGGTCCTGGGCCCGGAAAACAAATCTCTCTAAAGGACGCTTTGGGATAGCTGGAGAAATCTGAACTTGGGAGTGTAGCTTATAGTATGGTGTTCATGTCAAACTTCCAGATGGCCATGTTCCCAGGAAACACACACTTAAGTTTATCTGGGGGGGTGAAGGGACATTGCATGTGCAACCTACAAGTGGTTCAATAAAGAAAAATATATGGGTGGGTGTGTGTGCGTGGGTGTGTGTTTGGGGGGAGAATATTATAAAAGGAGAGAGTTATAAAGCAAAATGTGGCCCTGTTGATGGTTGGCAGACCTGGGTAAAGGGTACGGAGAAATTCTCTGTATAACTCTTGTAACTTCTGTGTGTGTGTGTGTGTGTGTGTGTGTGTGTGTGTGTTTTGAATGGGAGATTGAACGGGGGCGGGGCGGGTCGCTTTACCAATGAGCCATATCCCCAGCCCTTTGTTGAGACAGGGTTTCACTGAGTTACTTAGAGCCTCGCTCAATTGCTGAGAATGACCTGGAACTTGCTGTCCTCCTGCCTCAGCTTCCTGAGCCGCTGGGATTACAGGAATGCGCCACCACACCCCGCCAAGTGTGAAGTTATTTTAAGATTATTTCAATAATGTAGAGAGAGGATGAGAGGAAAGTTGGGAGGGAAAAATATAGACGACTGTTTGTGTTATGGGCCAGGCTACATGGGAATGACCAAACAGACTTCATTTTACTCTGAGACTCATGTCATATAAGAAATGCTTGTCCCATGGGAAAGCCCCGCCCTCTGTACCCATCAACAGTTAGTTTAGCATGTTTGGCAACACAAAATGGCAATTCCTATACAATGTAAAATTTTTCTCTCTTTGGTTCCCATTTTGCTTGGACAATGTACCCTCTCAGAGAATGATTGCTCAGCCGTTAGTAACCATTCTTTAACTTGTACTCAACTAGGGTGGTTTTGACCCACTTCCCCTTCTCCTTATGATTTTGGATCCCATGACATTTGTTTGTGGTTTTGAATCATAGCAACAGCCACTTATGATTAATATGGTTTTGGACTATAAAAGGTGTACTCAAACCCCAGGAGGGGGTCGAAGGGTGTGGACTTGCAGCCTGGCCCTTGGCCTGCCAGCTGGTGGGTCCGGACTGCCGGCTGGTGAATAAAGATGGTTCCGTCTCCTGCTTTTCGGTGATTTATTGCAACCTCGCCATAACATTTGGAGGAATTTTCCTGCAAAAAGAGAAATGGGGTGGTAGCTAGAGGGTGAAGTAGGTAGAGTTTATGTTAAGGAGGAAAGAAATAATACAACTTACATCCTGGTGGAAAAAGTCCAATCCAGAAGCGAATATCGATGAGGAGGGAGAAGAGAGTAGGAGAGAGTTGCCAGAGGCAAGGAGGGGTGCCCAGGTGCAGGGCAGGCCTTTGCCAGGAGCTGTGGCGGCTCATCTGCAGCACCTGGGGGTGGGAGTGGGGTCACAGATTTAAGAGGTGGGTGGATAAGTCCTGGGAACTCCTGGAAGCCTCCTGATTGTATCTGCAGGATTTCCTCCTTCCGAAGCAAGGTAGTCAGTCAGCTGAGAGGGGGGCAGGTTGGAGAGGAAAGTAAGAAACAGATGTCTGGAAAAGTGGAAGATGAATGGAGTAGGGAAGAAGAAGATGAGTTAGCTGCTCTGCTCTGAGGGCAAAGTTACTCACCCCTTCTTCAACCTCCAGGGTGCGCGGGATCCAGGGTTATAGTTGTTCTTTGTTGTGGATTGAATGTTGATGTCCTGCCCCCAGCCCCAACACCCATTCCTGTGTAAGGGCCTAAACCCCCACTGGGGCTGTGTTTGGATCTGGGGCCTCTGTGTAAGAAAGTGATTAAGGATAAATGAGGTCATAAGGGTGGGACCCTCATCCAGTAGGATTCCTGTGTTTATATGACAGAACAGGAAAGGGGCAAGGGAGCTGAGAATATATGCAAAGAAATTAATCCAGGTAAATGGAGATGGAGGGACCGTGGGGGCAGGGGAAGGGGAGGCAGAGGAAGAACAGTGAAAGGTGGCAACTAGAAGGTGGTTAGAGAGTGTCATACTAGAAGTGGACAAGGTTTATAGCAGTTGTTAAGGACAAGATCCAGAGTCAGACCACGGGAGTGGTTGGCTGGGGTAGGCCCAACGTCAAGCAAAGGTGTTGGAGGGATATTTGATAGACAAAAAATAGGAAAGAGTGGCTCTGGCCTGATCAAGGAGCAACAGTAGGCGGGTACAGTGGGAGAGGCTCGAGTGGTTGTTGAACAGGGAAATGGAGGAACACTGGCTCAGGAGCCCAACCACCCGTGAGACTTCTCTAGTCTCAAAAGAAGGAAAGGAAAAGCAGAAAAAGCAAAGAAAGAAGAAACGCACAGCCGAGAAAATAAGCAGAAAAGAGAGAAAAAAAAGAATAGACAAAAAGGGAAGACAGAGCTAGGGAAGGCAAAGTTCACTTAAACTGCTTTGAACACTTTGAAAATGGGTGAGGGGTGCACCGTTCCTGGAAGTACTGCAATACCAGGTCGATGCGTGGAGTGGACGGAGCAAGCTCCTATTCCAACTCCCTGCTCCAAAAATCCATTTAATATATTGTCCTCGGATAGAGGACGTATCAGATATTAAACTGATAAGAACAGATACTACACTTGATCTTAGCCAAAAGGCCGAGAAGCGATACCGTACCCCTCGCCCCTCGCCCTCACCGTCCTCCGCTGGCTCACTTTTAACTCCCGGTGAGCACCACGATGCCTACTCCTACTCTCTTTTTCCTGGTGTCTCCTTGGGCATCGCATCGGGCCTACGGGACGTTCGTGAAGATTCCCGATTGGCCCCACTTAGATCGAGGAATTTTAGCTGCCCTTGGCGGCTCTGGCGTTCAGGGGCGGGGGCGCCCTCCAATACTTTGCATGTCCCCGCCCCCTCACCGGAAAGGCGTGGCTACCGTGGGTCCCTTCCACCTGGCGACCGCTTCCAGGTCTCCAGGCAGCCCAGGGCGGGCTCTGCTCCCACTTCCAGACATACCGAGACCAGAGAGGAGCAGCGACTGCCGCTGACGCCGAGTCCAAGTCGGAGCCAGGAGCTCCGGAAAGCCAGAACTCGGTTTTGTTCCCCGCACCTACTTCACACTCAACCAGTAACTCTTCAGTGAATGAGATCGTGCCTCCCACACGCTCGGCCAAACCCCGACAAATCGAGCTTGGGATGGCTCCTTCTCAGTACTTCCCTGCTTCTTCAGGCCAT